GCAAATTTTCTTTAGGTTTTTCTTTGGGTTTATCTTCTACAATAACTAAATTATTTAAATGTGACTCTTCTAAACGTTTTACATAGCTTTGAACTAATTTTAAAGCAATTTTTGCTTGTTTATTATTTTTTATGTTCTTGAAAACGTGAAGTATCTAAAATACAAAAAGGAAATCCGCATCAATATAAAAAATATATTAAAATAGTAAATCAAATATGAGGAACGATAAAAATTACCTTGTCAAATTTGGCAAGTAAATCATCTTTAGACAAAAATTTTAATAATTGTAAACATGTTTTGTATGATGTGTCGTCAATTATGTGTTTCTTCATTGCAGTGCTATACATTTCTCTAAGCTAAGAATGTAATATGAATATATATTAAAAACAAATATAAAAATAGGTATAATTTAATGTTATCAATTTGCATACTTGAGTTCCTAATGGTGAATGTGGTAAGTCAACCACTAAAATGTGTAATACTCTTARCCCAATATGAAAATCATCAATACAAGCTTTTAAATTTCTAATTGATTGAAGAAAATTTTCCTGGAATTGTTATTTATAATAAATATTTAGTTTAATTTATAGCAGTTTGGAACAAATTTCTAAGAGCTTTATACTTTAAAATTGTTGTCGATTTTTAATTTATAATTTGTTGAACGCAGTTTAGTAATTTCTTCAAGTGTTTTTTTATCTAAAGAATCAAATAAAGCTCCCTGTGCTGATTCATGTGCCACACATATGCAATTAAGTGGCTTTTGATAAAAATGTTCCATGAGGCAAAACTGTAAGAATTATTGTTAATAGGTACTAAAATATTGTAAATTATCAAATTATCCCAGTTTCATTAATATTACCTTGAGACTTTCTATAAACTGTTTAATAGAAAAATTATAGTATAAAAATACTTCAGTCATATATTCCAAAATACGTCCACCCAAGTAAAATGAACAGTCTGGCTTTAAAAATACCTAAGTAAAAAATATAAAAATTAAAATAACTTTTTTCAGTTGAATTCTACACTTAAWAAATCATTAATATTTCTATTTCTGACTTCAAATAAATGATTTAACTGAATTCATGTAAAAGTGTACACATCTAGATTATACTTATATATAATTAATAATAATAACTTTACAACTACAACAACTATGTACATAAACTATTCTTGTAATATAACCATAGGGCTACCAGTACATACTTTTAATAAAAAAATAATAATGGTATACTTTTAAAAATATTAATTGATTATACCTGATCCATGATATTGTTTAAAAATACTACAGATGCTTCACTAACAAAAGTTTTCACTTGAAGTTTTGTGACCACATGATGAGGAAGAGAATTATGTAAGTTTGATATAGAAGTTGCAATACCAATACCCAACACAATAGGAATTTCTTTTACATAGTAACTGCATAACAAAAACAAAAAATATAAAATATTGTAAGTTAATAGTAATGAATAATTTAACAAAAAACCTTAAAAGTAAGATGAAATTTTGTAAGACTGTTTGTTGACACATTTCATAATCTTTTATGAGAATCGCTACACGAGTTCCAATTAGTTGATGACTATACCATTCAATTAAAGTAGACATAGTACATTCAGATCGTTTAACAACAGGATTAAAACTTTCATCCATTTCTTCATCAAACTAAAAACAAATAATAATTTACTTAAATAATATTTTTGTAAAAAACATATTATATTAAAATATTAAAGAATAATTATATTTATACATCAGATTCATCGTCATTTGTGTTTAACAATTGTGACACCATACTTATAACTGCATTTTTAACGCTAGAAAAGTGTTCAGAAAAAAGTGTAGCAACAACAATGGGCGGCTGAGATTTTTCTAAATTTGTTGCTAACAATCCAAATAATGATTCGTGATCTGGTAAATTTACTCCTATTCAAATAAAATATACTAATATAGAAAAATATATTTATATTTTTATTTTAAAAACTGAACCTGTAAGTAAACATGCTGTTGGAATATATAGATTTGTAGTGATGTTTGATGAGGCTAGGAAATCTACAGTGTCAGAAATAAACTTTGAGTATATTGATCCATTTAAATCCTATAACATTTCAGTAATATGAATTAATTAATTATTTGTTTATATTAAATATTGATTATATTAAATAATAGTATATAGCATAAATTATAATACATGTTAAATTAATTTAACTATAATTACATCAATTTTAGATTTAACATTATTCCAGATATCAATGAATGTAGTATGCCATAACTCAGATTCTGGTTGATAAGTTGTCAATTGTTTCTTGCTTTTGCTTTTTCTTTTGTTCTTTTCTTTGTTTGGTTTTTTGAACACAAAACAACCCTAAAATAGTAACAATCAAATTATTATTTTAAACTTATATTAAGTTAATTTATATACTAGATATCGATAAATATATCTACCTAATAAACAGAACTCTAAAATAAATACAGTTGTATTTCTACCATACTAATATTACTGTCTTKTAGCTTAAAGACTTTTAAACAATAACAAACAAAAATTCTTCAAGTTACAATTTACAATTGTGAATTTTCTAATATTGTTTAAAGAATAATTGATTTATAATTATTATTATAGTTAAGTACTTAAAAAAATATCAACATAATTTTAGAATTTAGGATTTAAAAATAACAAATAAAACATGTTATTATTTGTAGATTATCATATAATACAAACATACAAATTAATTAAGATGGATTATCTGATTAAATAAATAATATATTAACTAATAAATCATTAGTGATGTTAAGTTAGATTGAAATAGGTAGGTACCAGATTTTTAGTTTCATATTCAAAATTAAATTTAAAAACTTACCTTGGACACAGAAATTGTAGAATTCATGGTGGTTACACAGGGCCTGATAGGTGTATAGTATCACCGTTAAATAATTAATTATTTTTATCAACCTAATTGCAACTGTGGCTGTCTGCAGTTGAACTGTAATGGTAACTATTAACTATTATAGTAAATAGTAAGTGCTGATGGTGTTAAATGCATCAAATATCAAGTAATCTTAACCTAATCTGATATAGAAGTACAACTAAGTATATGAAATGGGAGTACCRACAACTAACTATTTAAATATAATATTAAACGACTACGATTTAAGTTAGGTAGATATATTTTTAATCATGCCATTTACAATAGAGTAATAAATGATGATTGAGCAACTAAGTGGATAAAGATACAAAAGTGAATACCTATATTATATTAAATGATTAATTTTATGCAGATTGCACTATTGCAATTTGCAGATATGTGATAGCAGCAGCTGCTGAGTAAAAATACGCGGGAAAAGTGTTTGATAATAAGGAAACCATATACCAGGTTAAAGAATTTCTATAATAGATAACGAAGTAAAAATGAGTAACCACATAGATAATAAAGAATGAGTAACCATGATTAAAGAGAGAGCAGAATGAGCAGATAAATAAATACATTATTCCACAAACAWAACGTTTCAACTTTTAACAATCCATTAATGAGTTTTATAAATTCGGTGGATTTATCAGATTTATCAGAAATCTGGGTATATTATATGACCTTAAATAGTTAAATTTTGGAAAAGGCCATTGAAGATTAAGATGGGAGTAGACACAGAAGTCAGACATTGAGAAATACGTAGTAAAGTAGTAAGTAAGAATGTGACTAATAAATATTAATCTTCTAAATCTTAATGTTGTTATAAACAATGCTATGAAGCTCGACTTGTACAACTTACAGTGTTCACTATCTCCGTCTTAAATACTTAATGTATATTCATTATATTTATTATTATCTTTACAATCTTAAGCTTTTATACCTAGTCTGTGTCTCATAATAATTTCAGCAATAGTCGTATTTGTATACAATTAAACGGAATTTATTTTATGTAGTTAAACATCATTATCATCATTATTCAAATATACAGTAAAACAACTAATAGTTATTCATTATTATGCATTATTCATTGACCAATGACTATTATCTTTTAACTTTGTATACCTTATAACTATAAAAGTTATTAGTTGACTGTTGACTTAAATACTAAGTAGTCACACAATATCTAATTTGGAATTTTTACTGTTAAGAAGATAATATCATGTGGCACGAAGCAAGAAAACAAGAGAAAAAAATCCGTGGCCTATTGGTCGATTATCAAAGGAGAGCTCAGCGCCGAAAAGATTATTATGAAAAAATTGTGAGTGATTCTTTTTTGTTTTGCAAATCTTATTCACAACAATTATTATTATATCTTATTTAATTTCAGAAAGCTGATCCCACACAATTTTTACAATTGCACGGTCGTCAATGTAAAATACACATTGATCCAGGAATTGCAATTGCTGCCAATAGTCCTGCTACTATGTAAGTATTTGCCATAATTTTCTATCTTTTTTTTTTTTCGTTTCTTAAGAAGATTGATTGWGTTTTTCTTACGTTAGGATGCCCTGGCAAGGAAATGAAGAAATAATGATTGATCGGTTTGATGCACGAGCTCATCTAGATTTCATCAGAGAACCTAAGAAAGACAATGAAGATGAACAAATGTCTTATGAAGAACGTCACTTAAACTATGAACGTTACCGTATTCTCGTTCAAAATGAGTTCTTAGCTAGTAAGATTTTATTTAACTCATCTGTGATCATTTGATATTAATCATCTATTTTGAAAATTTTAGTATCTGAAAGTAAATTTTTACACCAACTTTATCTTGAAGAAAAATTTGGCCCTGTAACTAAACCAGATGCGGATGATGCTAAGAAAAAATCTACTGCTAATGCTGCTATTCCATATAAATATAGCGATGAAGACACTATTCAAACTGATGATTCCAGAAAATATTTGGATATTAAACCTAAAAATGATGGTTCTGATGAATCAGACGAGGAGAGTGAAGTTGATTTTGGTAAGCATCAATTTTTAAAAATTAAAATTTTAGGATAGATAGTAATTTAATAGCTTTATTTTGTTTTAAAGATTTATCAATTGATGTTAGCAAAATTGGTACTGACCAAGCGAATGAATTGAACTCTACTGCTCATGGCTTTGGTATGACTACTAATGATTTTTATAGTTTTCTTAATAATGATTTGGAAGAGGCTGAAAACATTCAATTAGCTCGTTTAGCTGAAGAAGAAAAAGCAATGTTTGCTGTAAGTTTTATTTTTCAAATTAATRGTCAATTTATAAATTTATTACCTTAGTATTTATAATAAATCAAGCTGGTTAAGAGTATAAATTAACAATCAAATTTTGTTCATCAAGTTAAATTTCAAAATATTATTAATTCATGCATAACTTTTATTTTTTTTTAAATATAAATTTAAATAATATAATTAAAAATTGAAATTAATTTTAAATTTTGTATTTAGGGACGACGATCTAGAAGAGAACGTAGAGCTTTTCGATTAAAAGCTTTAGAAGGCAAAGCATTAAGTCCACTAAGGTATTAACTATTAAAATTTGATTTTGTACCTTATACCTACAACAGTTACAGTTATAAATTATTTTTAATTACTTTTTTTTAGTTATGCAACTAGAAAGAGTCCTAGTTATACTGATTTTGATCAACTATCATCAATGATGACATCTCGTTCTCCCACTCCTGAAAACTCAGGCCAAGTAACTTACATAACTAGTTTTGGCGACGAAGAACCTACAAACCATGACAAATCCAAAACAAGTTCAAAGTAAAATCAGTGATTTATCTAACTTTCTTTTTTAAATTTTTATGTTATAGTATGATTAAATTAAAATTATATCCAGTATTTTTTGTTTAAATAAACAATTTGTATTAATTTTTTTAGTTATTATTTACAATTTGTGTTTATAGATCAAAATCTTCAAAAAGTCATTCTAGAAGAAAACGGAGTTCTCGTTCAAGATCTCCTCGTCGAAAATCTAGATCATTATCTAAGAGTCATATTCGTCGGCATAGATCACGAAKTCAGAATAAAGCAGTGTCACCTATCAGGTTCAAATTTTTTGTTATTAAATATTAATAATATAATATGGAAAAATTACTCTCACTGTTCCTACATTTGTTGTATCYATCTTACAAATTTACCACATACCAAAAACTTTTATGCACGAGAAAAAAACAAGATATTCTATTTTAAATTCTGAAGAATCAAAACTAAGAAAAAAAATTTTCACACTATATAATGGTAAATATTTACAGTACATTAATTTTTTTGACATAAAAATATAATTAAGTTTGAATGGCGAAATTCTAAACAAAAAAACTTTTTCGTGTTTGTATTGAAAAAAATAAAAACAATGTTGCACAGTAAATCTTCTCATTTTTAAAGTGTGAAAATGTTGTTTCTTAGTAAGTTATGACTGCAATCTTCTTGGTTCTTCCCACGTAGAACAGTTGTTGCTATGTTGTATGTTTGTAAGATGGAGACAATACTTGCAAGTGTGGCGTCCTCTTTATAATTTATTGTTGATTTGACATTTATATCATAATGGATGTTATATTTTTATCTGCTACAATATGTGGGTCATTAATAACTCCAATTCCCATTGTTACTAATTATTAGTTTGATTCAAATTTAATTTTTATATATTTTATCATTTTATGTTCATAAATGAATAATAGGAATAATGCACAGTTGCCAGCTATTCAAAAACCACCTCCTGTTCAACGGTAAACTTATTTATTCATTGTAACCTATATACTTTGGATAGTATTGATATTATTTTTTTTCATATGTATATAGGTATTATGGCCGTAGAGGAAATGATTCATCTTCAGAATTGAGTATTTCTGATGAAGATGACGAAAAAGATAAAAATACAAATAACATTAAACCTCCGTAAGTTAATGTGTTCTTTTAATAATGCATACTTATTTTTATTGAAAATTGATATTATTTCAGATTACCAGATCTCAGTCTTTCTTCTTCCAGCAAAAAAGTCAGTAATTTGTTAATATATCGCAAGAGTACATTAGCATGTTGCGAATAAAAATAAATCAAAATTCTAGGGGATTATGAATTTTAAACAAATGAAAATTTATAATAATAAATAATCTCTTTAATATGAATATTAGTTTGTAGATTTAGATGTAATTGTAACATAATATGTTTACAGCAAGGCCCAAGTGACAGCAAACCAACTCCACAAGAATTAATGAAACGAAAAATGAAAGTTTTGCTAAACAAACAATGTCAGTAGTATTACTAATAGTTCAAATTTAATGTGGTGAAGTTGTTTTTAAAGTCAACATTCTATTGTATATTTACTATTTATAAATTAAAAAAATGTATTTATTTTGTTTGTTGTTCAATATACTATTTGGTACTAGATAAAGCGGATAAAAAAGCACAAAGAGAACGAGAACTAAAAATGGAAAGAGAGCAAATTGAACGAGAAGAAGAAATTAAAGAGTTGTCATTGAAAATGAGAAGAAAGTATGTTTTATAGTATCATCTAATATTTATCTATTTTGTTAATTATTAAYCTATTTTAGACGACGTCAATTACGTCATCCTGAGAATAGTTCTACATCATCACGATCTAAATCACGTTCAAAGTCTAGTAGTTCTAGTAGTTCCAATTCAAGTTCTAACTATAACAGGTTATACAAATAATATACCTAAAAACTTTTATAAATAAATTGTTTTTGTTAATTATCATATTTTAATTTAAATTATTTTTAGGTATAGAAATCGTAGGCGTAGATCTAGATCAAGAAGTGGTGGACGTAGATCTAGATCTAGAAGTGGTGGTCGTCGAAGATCTAAAAGTGGTGATCGACGTCGTCGATCTAGAAGTGATGATAAGAGATGGTCTAGAAGGAGTGAAGAACGAGATAGATACAGAAGAGATGACAGACGAGATTATGACCGTAGAGATGATTATCGATCCCGTCGTAGCCCTGAAAGAAGAGATAGAAGGGTAGATAGAAGAGACAGCCCAAGTAGGASGGAAATAAAACAAAGGGAGAGTCCTATTAAAAAAGAAATTAAGCAGCAGAGGGAGAGCCCAGTTAGGAAGGAAATTAAGCAAAGGGAAATCCCAGATCGTAGTAAAAGGGAAAATGTTCGTCCACTTGTCAAGATAACATATGAAGCAAGTCCAAAACGCTATGTGTCGAGCACCAAAGTACAATCCAATTTGAAGTGAGTATAATCAAAACTCTAGTCAATCATTTTTACTATTAAGTTAAGGAAATTGTATTATAATAGTAAATATATACATTTTTAAATTTTAAAAATGTTGTAACTTAACCAGAACTTTAAATGTTTAATAATAAAGCCTAGGATTTCTTACATTTGCATAATCATAAAAAAAATCATCCAAATATTAATTTATTTCATATTACGATTAATATACATTTGTGATTTTATGTACCATATTCTAGTATAACTAGGTGTTTTTGCTTTTTGTGATATATTTAAGTTTATTTTTGCATAATTTTTTTTAATAGTGTTTATCAAAATATCTATCTATTGGTTCTATAATTTGAAGGAAATCATTCATCAAWCATATTATTTTTTATTAATATTTATTTTAAGAATAAATTAAATGCATGGTATATAGTTTTCAAGAGCATAAGTGCTTGCATGTTAAGTGCTTTTTAGGGCGATGAGTCCCTACTTATAAATATTTATTTGTTAAATATTTGTTTCTTACCCATTAAAGTTACGGATTATAATATTTAAAAAAATATGAATTGTCATTTTGAAAAGGTAAAAAAATTAAATGAATAATTTTTCTTTTAAACTACAAAAATTAATTGTTACAATGTTCTTAAGAGGGCACCACTCGAGAATTTGTTGCCTTCGTCTTACAAACCTCCAACATGGCAAATTTTACGTTCACAATAATACATTTTCCTTAGTTWTTTCTAAAATTAGAGTGAATTTACCTGGTATGAAATTTAAAGGTCAGAATATTATCTATGCCATCTCGGAGAGTTTTAATGATATTATTTTTAAGTAACTTATGACCATTTTTCAACAGGTTTTTTTATAAATTTTAAAACAGTTATAAATTACTTAAAAATAAGAATATGATTAAAATCCTTCAAGATGTATTATTGTGAATGTAAAATTTGCCATGTTTTAGATTTTTATTTATTTTTGTTTGTTTATATAGTTTAGCATAAAATTAGTAGGTAATATTTATAGTTATTCCATTATTTTTATAAATTGTATGACTAATGTATATAACTCATTTGTCAATATATTCCAACAATTATATGTAAATAATTAGTATAAATTGTACCAATTAATAATTTTTTTTTTTCAGGCCACTTGTAGATTACGATTGAGTGCTGGATGTGAGCTTAAAAATTTTTTATCAGGATTAAAAGTAATCAATGTTACAATATTAATATTCTTGTAAAATGTTGGTCTCATAGATTTTGTTAATCAAGAATATCAACTCTTGATCTAATTATAACTTTTATACAAAGATATTTTTAATTGATTATATTATTATAACTTTTTAAATACGACTATTCAAGTTTTTTTTCAAATCTCATTAAAGCATAGACTTCTTAGTCTATATCTCAACTCCAAAGAACAAAAGATTTATATTGGCGAATGGCAACACTTGTATTCTGAATACAGTTTATAATACCATATTATGTTACCTCCAATGATGATTATTAGGTACTGTAAAAAATAACTAAGCAATCATGAAATGAGCTCTTTGAAGAAATTAATATTATAAAAATGTATAAAAAAGTTCATATAACTTACTTTATAACATATTGTCTATGACATACATTGTTCGAAGACCACAGACAATGTTAATATTCTAACTTCTATAACAAACAACTATTATGTTGCAACAATTTATTAATTATAAATTTTAATTATTAGCTATCAACCTTAGACATTTAGACATTTCATAGAAAATGTACTTATTTTTTGAATTAGTATTATTACTGGTCACAAGTATATTAAAGAAAATTTTTAAAGTGTCTCATATATAATAATATATTTAGAGTTGTAACTATTGTGTTCATTAAACAAAAAGAGAAATTTAATAAAACAAATTAACAGTATATTATTGATCATTTATAAATTTGTATTTTAAAATATTTACATGAAAAATCAAAAGATTTAAAGTTCTTACTGCAAAAAGTTTATATTCTTCAATAGTTATACACATTAATATTTTATATTAATGCTTAGTATTTGACAATAATAAAAATAATAAATCACACACACTTATATATGTATAAAAGGTGTGAAGAAATATTATCTTAAGCTTAAATCAACATTGATTTACCCAGATTTAATAAGTTACCAAAGAAAGATCATTTATTAATTTATAATTAATGAAGAAGTGATTGACTCAAAATCATGTGATTATTAACCTGGTGACCACCCCTGTTCTAAAAGGTATACTAAAAATGTATTAACTAAATAATTATTATTTTAAAATAGTTTACTGTGTGTTGAGTAGAAAAATTTAAGAAATAATAATGTTGAAGATATTATGTTATTGAATATTGATTAATTATTTAAAATATAAATTTGTTATTTACTCTATTCAATTGGGTAGCTTACGAGATATATTAAAATAATAATATGAGTGTTAGTAATTATTTTACTTAGTTTAAAAATTACTAATTTCAYTGATGCACATTCAGACAAAATATTAAATACAATTTAAATTACTAATTGACAAACATATGAGTAGATATTTTTGTTCGCCCTAAATCTAATATATACTATAGATATATAATTACATCAACTAAAACAATGGATAATAATAGAATTTATACAAAATATAACCCAAATCAAATTAAATTAAATTAAAAGAGTCAACATATCAGGCTGTGAAAATAATATGTAAATGATATTATATTATTATATATTATCCTCCCAGTTGTGTCCAACTATAGGATGATGGCTGATATACGGCATGTTCATAATCTTGGCCAGAACTGTTGATAGGGACACACTTTTTATGATTAACTTGTGGCTTGACAAAGTAACAAGTTGTGCATTGACATCGGTTCATCGGTTCTCTTTGGCCTCCATACTGAGATAACCAATCGTCAGATGTTGTTGTATTATAATTTTCGTGGTGAGAAAAGTTTAAGCTACTTTCTACATTTATAAAAACAAACATACTTTAAATATTAAATATAATTCTTGTATGAGACTTCAATAATACCATATCCAAGTGCTGGCTGATAAACATCTTGGTGTTCTCTTCTATCCTTTTCCTCAGTTTTGACTTTAGTGTCTTTAAATGCCTTGGCAAATGGATTATATTTGATTTTAAGTTTAGTCACCTAAAGATAAATATATTAATATTAATGGTTTAAACAATTGTAAACATGATATTTCTACAGTTACTAAAAATTATACACATATTATCATTTGTCATAGGTAATAGGTATACAATTGAATTGAATACACAACCGTCAATGGCTACATAGCTAATGGTTCATATAAATTCACACTCAGTCTACATTATAAGATGCAATAATAATTATTATAAAAAAATTATTCATCCAAAAAAATCGTTATATACGTTATAGAGACGAAAAAAAAGTAGAAAATAATATTTTTTAAATCATGATACCAATGTCCAACAATAGCCTAATACTCAAGTACATATTCTGACTTTTATTTTTTACACACTCTTCTGATGCATACAGATAAATTCAATTTTAAATAATAAACATTCAAGTCCAATATACGTTTCCAAAACACACTCAGAAAATGGTTGATTATCCACAATATGGATATTTACAATGAATCTATAATATATTTGTTAACGTTAGGTGATCAATGATCATACACTTAAAACGTACCACTAGTAAGGTTCGTGCGCAATCGTATYGCACCCATATGGTCATATGGACACAGAACAATGGTACCTATGGAAGTACTTAATGAAATAACTAATAGGCGAGGTATTATTTTATATTGATATAATACAATATTTTCAGGTTATTATAAGTATATTAATATTTAAGTAAGCCAGTATCGTTTACTATTAATTACATAGTACCTATAGTCATCTTAACAGTTAACATGCATTCCTATTACCTAATTAATTACAAATGGACTTTTTAATTTTTGATACCTACCTACTGCTAATAGGTTTATCTAGTTGTCAAGTACTCAAATTATATAATAAGTTTTAATTTGTTGCTATTACCTCTTCGTTTTGATATGCCGTGACTGCCATAAACCTGGTCTGTGGCATTGCAAAAATTTGTACGTCATCCGGATCTCCAACTTTGACAATGTGAAGTTTGGTTTCATATTGGTGTAACGAATTTAAGTGAGTCTAGAAAATTCAAAGCACATTATTAATACATGTCTATATTATATTAGTTAATTTATTTCAARCTGAGTTTTTATTCCAAATATAAAATAACAAGTTGTACTTTTTATGCGATTATTGCCAGGTTGAAGATCGTYCGAGCTTTGCAATAGCACAGAGACCTGTCGCAAAAATAAACTATTGGATCCATACACCATGTTATCATCTAATGAATCATATTATTCATCGATGGGATTTAGATCTTATTGTCTCTGAGGCTTCAAAGTAACACCCACTAAATAGCACCGCAAAAGTATTCCGCTTATATACCCCGATATTCAAAATATTGATTTAATAAAAGGTATGATGTAAAAATTTGAATTAAATTTACTAGTTTTTTTTTTTTACTTATTATAGATCTTAAACAAATGCCATTACTGATTCACGTAACCGAGGTCAGGGTCAAAAAATCAAAACCCCTGCTGTAAAAATGTCAATGCTACGAGACTAAACTTGGGTAAACCTATGTGGGAGTTAATTTTACATTATTTAGATTATACAAAAACTTCAAATTGATAAATGTCCAAAGATAAAAGAAAAATATTTGCGAGTAGGCTGAGGTGATACCCGACTACTGGTGTTTTATTAGAAATTAGATTTGATATAATATATACGTTACCCATCAACGTCGTGGGCGGTTGATAGGTATGTTTAATTAATAATTATATTAAAACTAGAAGATTTTCAATTCTATTCATTATAACAAATTGTAGATAGCGATATAGGTACCTGTCCCGGGTTATCCGGTCTGTTAGTGAGTTTGATTTTAGCAAAAGAAATCGGTTGATCCATCCAATGTTTGCCGAAATTCGGTGACTCCGGGTGTTTATAAAACGGATTCTTTGTGGCCGGGTCCGACGTGGTGGTTGGCGACCATTCACTGTTTATGTACTTCCATCGTTGACCAACCACTTGCACAAACTCCAAAAATACGGTGTACATGTCTCCAGGACACAAACCGGTAACTTGAATTTTAATCACCGGAAACATTCTCCTAAGACATAGTTGTAAATAATTTTTTTAAATCTTCGATTACCTATGTATCTGATGAATAAAGATAGCTGCAAATAATCMAATTAGTTTTTGGGGWGAGCTGAGWGGTAGATTTAAAAAAAAAAAACTTTAGTAATAGCCCCTCACCTAACTATTGTTATATATTAACTTACAAATAAAAATTATTATTTACATAGCTGATTTATATTCAATATCTATCCATTATTAATCAATAATAATTAAATAGAAAAATTAATTTGAGCTGACTACCTATTCAATTTTAATTCTTGGGCACATTAAAAAAATTATAGAAAAAAAAATGATATTTATTTAGTGCCTACTAATTTGATAAGGATTTATTATGCGTGACTTGGCAGAGTTTTGAGTCATAAGTTCCCGCCTCAAATTCCCTTTATTATCGACAGAGTAAACAACCAACCGTTACTTTTATTATGAATTTCTAATAGAATAATTTACAAATTTTCGTGATTTTCACGAGTTTTATCAAAATTCGAACTTCAGGTGATGAAAAAAAAAAATTGTGAATTCATGATCAACTTTTTTTTTTAATTTCCATTTATGATAAAATAATATGAGTAATCTTGTAATATATATTTTGAAGTTGACAAAATGCAAATTTTTTTATTGGCATTCATTTTAATAAAAACTAATATAAATCGTAAATTGCATATACCTAAAAATAGTTTAACATGGGTCGAAATATTTATAAAAGTGTATGGACAATGGACTATATATAAAATGCTATAATATATACATTCAGTGAAAATTTCATGCATCTAAGGTAATATTTTTAGTTACATTAAAAACCAAAACCAAACATTTTTTTTTTTATTTTACCATGAGCTTTTGAAAATTACTAGGAATATTTTATTTTGACCTTCGGAATGCGCCAACTATATTCACACTTAATCACCAAAAAATATAGTAATATACTGATGTTGAAAATTGTGTAAACACACTAAACAGATAAAAAAAACAACATACCTATTTATAAAATCAATACACCCAGACTCTAAAATGATACAATACTAATTTCCAAAAATATAGATAGTAACTGTACCTACATATTATGTATTCTTTCTTAAGTCTTTATAGTATAGGTTTTCCGAAGACATGAAATAAATTCTACAATACATGTTATAAACAAAATAAAAATAGGTGGGTAAATTTTTTTTCTGAAATTTTTTCCCCAAGTTTTTTGGTTACATACGAATTGCAAAGCACGCATAGCACGTCTTAGATTTGTGCAATTGTATCTACTTGTACATTTGTGACCATGGAAAAATAACGGTCTGAAAAATTTAATATAAGTATCTACCTACCTAATATGAGTGAAAAAAAATCAAATGAAGATTAATAGTTTCTTTTAGTTATGGTTAGTTATCTATGTTCGTATGTTAGGTTTTTGCGATATAGTTTAATTTTTAACAA